CTGTGGCTCAGCTGGTTTCACCATGAAAACCCGTGGTGGTGTGGTTAGGCAAGCCTTTGGCCGCAACGGGTTGTCCCCGTCCGCTGGTCTTGTGCTGCAGAACCCACTTGGGGCTCGCTGCCCCGCACCGGGCTGTCGGAAACATGCGACTTCAACCACGGGTAGAGCATCTGTTGAGTGAGCATCGACCGGACTGTCTAGAGAGGAAGATGAAAATCAGGTGGTGGTTCTTAGCGTTGCTGTCTGAAGGCAGCAGTACCAGTGGTGCTGACAGATGGGGCGTGCTGGGAGGCAGAAATGGGGTTTTTATGTAACGTTGGCTTTGTTATAGTGAGCTGGATCAGCCACACCGTTCTCGGCGGGTTTGTTTCTGGCCTGATGGTGATGTTCTGCTCTTCAAGAGCAGCGCAACTGCCCCTTGGGACCTGAAAGTCTGATAATTCTCCTTCTCTGTATTTAGACCAAATCTCCAATTCTTTTCCTCTAGGGTTTAATATTTAAACTTTTTTTTTTTTTTTTTTTTAAAAACCCCAAAAAGTAGTTTAACTACTCGCAGATGGAAATCTTTGTGGCACTAGCACCGCTTGGTCGAGATGTAGCTCAGCCTTGTTTCGGCAGGCAGCAGTGGCCGAGGCTGGGCGAGACTCTCAGGTTCCCAGGCACCGGGGCTGCTGATCAGGCAGTGGGCTGAGCTCTCAGGAAGAAGATACCCAGCAAGGAAACCATTTGCTTCTGCGGGATAAAGAAACAGAAAACCACCACCTCTGATCTATGTGACAGTCTTGTGCTGTTACTGTAACACCCAGACTGACACTGAGATTGACAGGAACTACATCAGCACTAAGTGATGGAGGATAACGCACCGTGCTGGGGCACGCAGCCTCCCGTTGCAGCGGTTTTCAGGCTTGCAGGAGAAGCAGAAGGTTGCACGCAGAAGAGGTGTGCAGGGGAGCACTGTCCTGTTTTGCAGAGGGGATGCTGTGCCTGGGATCTCATCCTGTGGTTTGCCCGGCCCTGGTGGGATCCAGCCCAGCACTCCAGCTCTGAGCTCATCTCGCCTTCGATGAGCTTTGACGATGTGCACAGAATTTATGCTGCGATGGCATTGCACTGCTGTAGTAAAAGACTGGGGTTTGCTGGTTCTCTCCCCGCTCCCCAAACGCTGATGGTTTTGGCATGTATTAGTTAACACCGGGACCCAAGGGGGTCTGCAGAGCTGCAGCCCGCACCCGACACATGCAGCAGCAGCATCAGGTCAGGCGAGATGCCACAAGCAGGGAACTGGGTGATACTGGTGCTGTGATTCTGGTTTGAGGTAGGTGACATGAGTCACAGGGATGACTTGTAATGGTGCCTTGGGTGTCTCGACTCTCCAGGCTACCCTTTGGGGTTGTTTGGTGGGTTTTTTTTCTCCTTTTTTCAACTTTTTTTTAAGCAGCGCGTCCTGGCAGAGAGGAACTGTGGTGGACAGGGCTGGCCTGACAACGGGGAAAAAAGCTGCTGGAGGATACGGCCAGAAATGAATCATGGTGATTGCTCCCCTGCTGGAAATGTCATTTCTCCGTAGTAGGTGCTGCCTTTGGTTGCCCAGACGGCTTCTGCTGGGATTTCCGGAACACCCTTCCCAAAACTTCTTGGAGATGATACACACGTTTAGTCAGAGGCGTTAGCGGGTTTTGCTCACCAGATCTGCGTCATGATGCGAACTGCAAAGATCCCCATGTTTTGGTGAGAAATGGCTCAGAGTTCTTCGCACGTGGCTTGCACGGCGATCTAGCGCTGGGTGTCCCCTGGCTCTTGTTTCTACCTCCCTCGAGCGAACCCGTGCCCCTGGCTGGGAGCCCTGCAGCACCTCCCCGCAGCCCCTCCAGCTTCCCAACCCGCCTTTGGAGGAGCGGAGCTGCATCTCCCCGCCATGCCAGCTCCTCTCCGGCGCTGATGCCCCTGCGAGCAGGCAGCCATCCCATCCAGATTGCTGACTTGCTCTTCCTCCATTTTCTTCTGAATCTCCTGTAGCATCAGGTAACTGGAAACCTTCATTCTCCGTACAGCAAGAGGCATCCCGTCTGCTTCCTTCCTGTGGTTACTTTAACCAGAGTGACTGAGCTTTACTGAAAAACTCACCACAGCTGAGCTGACGCTGCCCTTTTCTCCACGCAGGGCAGAGCCCAGGCACCAGTTTCACTCACGAGGGTCCTTGGGATCCTGCCTTGAGCTGGTGATACAGGCTCTGAGAGCTGTTTCCTACCTCTCCGCGGGAGAATTGTTATATAAAAGGGACGAAAATACATGCGGAGAGGACGGGGAGCATGCAGACCAGATCTGCCTGGGGTGAAGCTTTAAGCAGCGTTCCCTGAGCAGGTTTTACTGTGAACACAAATCATCTCATGGGCAAATTCATCAATTCCACTGACCAACGCCAGACTGAGCAGAAATAGACTTAGAAATTGTTGTATTAACTGAAATTATTTTTGTTTCTAATGCAGTGAGGAACGAAACCCCAGCTGCCGATACACACCTGGAGTCTGCTGGACTCGCAAGCGAAGGGCTCGGAGCGGTGAAAACGAAAGAGGCTCGAAAGTGAAACAGAAACGTGGCCAGGCAGGTACTTGCCAGCAGCTGCCCCCGGGTGCCGGTGTGAGCTGGAGTTTGGAAATGGTTACACTGGTTGAATTCTGGTTTATTAGTAACAGAGCTGTAAGTTCCCACGTGCACGCCCCCTCGGTTTTGTTCAGGATTCAGCTGCCGTGCATACCGATCCACGTGCAGAGATACGCAATCCCCAGCCCGAGGAAAAGCAAACAGTTCTGTCGTTAATTTATGTTAGTCTAGTTTTTAGCTAGTATCTACTACCCGATTTAGCATCAAGGCCTCATCCTGACTGAGAACAGATGTGAAGTTAGAAACATCTCAGCAGATGAACGGAGGCAGCAGTGCTATCTCCTATAAATCAGGGGAAGGGAGGCGCAGGGATGTTAAAGCCCCAGTGATCACTGATGACCTTTGGGCGCATAACCAGTTATTTAACTGTAAATGCTGCTCTGGACAGGGCAATGGCTGACCCACTTCACCAGAGGCTGGAGTGACCCATGGAGTACCTCAGGGCCAGCGGTTTTTCTACTGTAAGATATCACTGGTGAGTATTTTGTCCCAGCAAATTTTGCCAGAAATTTGGATTTAAATGTGAGGACCTCGGGTCTTCTCACTTCCCTGGCCATTAATGCACGTAACGCATCATCCGTGGTCCTCCTCGCCTGGATCCGTGCCCGCCAGGCTCTTCCCCAGCAGGGTGACAGTGGGCACAGCACCCACGCGCTGGTGCTGGCTCACAGCCCCGTTCACAACTTGGAAGAATGCGACAGAGGCTTTATTCATTAGGAAGTCTTTATTAGCAAAAATAAAAACTTTCTTTTTGTACAGATAAACATGCAAAAGTTCACACAGTGACCGAAGCCGTGGCCAAGGCACGGTGCCCCGCCAGTGCTGCCGCCGGGAACGGAGCTGCTGATGTTCTTGGCTCTCTCCAGGACCGTCCTCCCTTCTCACGGAAAAACGAGTACAGAAGTTGGCTCAACACGAACTCAATGTGTCTTGGTAAGAAGCTTAAATGAAGTTTTACAGTGCTTGGCTCCCAGGCTGCCCTTGAGCCGATGCCACCCG